CAACGAACTCTGCAACCAAAAAACAAAAAAGAAATTGCCCTCATTGCAATAAAAATCTAGTCTTGACAATGATTTCGTCGGAAAGTTTTCGAAAGAGACACGGAAATCGAAGAGAGAAAAAGCGAGAATGCTTGGATCGGATAAGAAGATAGAAGAGTTTCGCGGTTGGGAAGGAATCGCCTGCGTTTGCCGACCAATCGGAGCACTTTCAGAGAAATTGTAAAGTTTGCTCCAATTTTGCCCTAGCAGAACTTGAGATTTTGGGCCATCTGTCTCCGCAGATTTTGGACACCAGATTCGCAGGTTCCAATTACGAAGTTCCGGGAACCGTCTCCGTGCTCAGCTTTCTCTTAAAAGGGTTCGACGACGGCGGTTGTGGCAGGAGCGGGCTCTTCAACTTGGCGGCAGAGATTTCCGGCGACTGCTCCGGAATCGGGGGCAACAAGTTCGGATCCGATGGCGGAGCGTTCTCCTTGGAGCCCCTCTGCTTCCGCGACGGCCGGGGCTTGGCTGTGCTAGGGTTGGGCGAGGCCGGAGACTCTATCGTCGTATCCCTCAAGACCGCGTTTCTTGGCTGCATGATGTGCTTCATGGCTACGAAATCTAGAGAGAGAAAGAGAGAAGAAACGGAGGAGAGAGAGAGAGAGAGAGAGAGAGAGAGAAATTGAGAGGGTTTTTGATTGGAAATGGAAGAGAAGACAAAGGAGCGAGAGAGAAAGGGGAAATGTAGCCGTTGGAGGAGAGAGACTGGGGGAGATATGGGCGATTGAATTTTGGGGTAATAGCACTGCATAGGGCCTTTTTTTTTTATCGATTGTTTGTGTAAATTATCAATGTTCTTGAACATTTTTACACCATTTTGACTGAGCTATGGCACACTAATGGTTACTCAATTTACATAAGTGTATAGGTACTTAACCAGTTGCAAGGAATGAGAAATTGTGACGTTTATGGCATATTTACCTACGCATAATCAGAATGAGTATGAATCGGAGTGGGCAAGATTCGGAGTGAAGAATCGGAGTCAAAATAAGCTGTTTACTTAGTGATAGGATTCAGAATCGGAATCATTTTAAATCTCATTCATATGTTTACTTACACCCAGAATCGGAATAAAAAAATGTAAAAGTATTAATATACCCTTTAAATCAATTTGATATTTTCAATTTAAAAAATATATTGTGTACTTATTATATTAAAATTAATCATAATTAAAATATTTAGTGTAATAATTGGGTACTAAAATAATAAATATAAATTGTACAACTATTTAAAATATAAAAAATAAATTTTAAAAAAATTTAAATAAAATAAATAAAAATAAAAAATAGTGTTAAAAAATAAAATATATTATTAATTTATTAAAAAATAAAGTACATATTTATTATATTAAAGTTAACAATAATTATGCTAATATTATAATATTAGACAAATAAGATAATAAATATATGTTGCATTTATTATTTTTTGAATTTTATTTTTAATTGTGTATTTATAAGTAAAATAAGGGTATAATAGTAAATTTATATTAATATTAGGAATGGGAGTCTCAATCCCAAGGGGGGCATGCGAATGCCAATCCCATTCCGCAATCCCAAATTTGAGTGGGACCTATCAATCTCACTCCCATTCTAGGATAAAAAAGAGCAAGTAAACATGGGATTGACTCACATTCTCCACTCCTATTCTTCAATCCTGGTAAGTAAACATGCCATTTAGTTAATTCCTTGAAATTAGGTTTCCGGAATGGAAACAAGTGGGTGTTGATTCTTGAAGAGAAGGATTCAGCATATATTTTGTGTCGAGGTAGGATTTTGTATCATTTTCTTTGATACAGTCTGTTTTTACCTTTTGGTTTGAAATTAGTCTCGTAAAAGTTTTTAAGAACTGGTATTAACTGAAATGATTTGAGAAAATGATTTTGTAAACCAAAATGATAAAAACATGATTTTTGTAATCAACCGTTTTGAATTTTTTTAGAATGTTTTGGATTTTGAATTATCTACCTGAAGGCCTGAACTCTTTGGCCATTTTAGCCTGATATGATTGGGATATAGAGATTGTATCCTTGAAATGAGAACCTAAAACCCGATCCGTGCTACTCATATAGTGGTTGGCCATGGAATAGTAAAATAAGTGGATATAATATACCATAAAAGAGTTTTGTGGTTGAAATGTGGGTGAGTTGTGCCTCTCGCTGTCACGTTATGTTTATTTGTTCTTTATTTGCTATTTATTAAATAGCTTAACTATTTTCTTTTCTATTTATTTGCACTTCTTATTTTTAAATATTACTGAGCCTTTTGCTCAAGTTTTACTGTTTTAAAATTTTCCACTCCCAGATTCTGTTGACTGTTTGAGATAGCGATTTGACTTAGTGTTTCAGAACAGTGCTAGTTTCTTATAGAGATTTCTAAAAGTTGGCTGGAGGTATAAGTTGGTTAAGTTTTCAGTATTTCTGTAATTGTTGTACAATAATTGTATTGTACCACTTGTCTCAGTGTTGTAATATTTTTGGAGAAAAATTTTGTAATCAGACTGTTTTAATTATTTATAAGTTTTCAAGCCCTCGCGAGGCGGTCATATTGCTGTAATTTTCGAGTCGGTCTCGTTTTTACATATTTAGAATATTAAATTCTAATTTATTTTTAATTAATTCTTAATTAGTCACAACCTTTATTTCGAGTGTGACAATTCTATATCCCCTTTAAACTTATATTGTTGATGAAAATCCTTATCATTTTTTCGGTGCTTAAAATTTAGATTTTATATTTAAAATCCTAAACTGATCTCTTTTTGTTTTAAATATAACTACTTTTGAGGTTCTCCCTCTTACATGTTTTCATATTTGCTTTTACATTTTTTTTAGTTGTAAATGGGTGAATTGTAGAATAAACTTTTTCAAGAGAAGAAAACCTATTTTATCGAAGGACTTGCAAGATAAGTTTCAATTTCTAATTTTTAAATTTTTCAAGAATATCTATTTATTTTAGTACTCATCTAAAGTTATTCTTATCCTCAGGTTTTGTGATGGTTGCATCATATTCAAGAATACATGGATTCTATTAGTATAAATATCCCTTTTCTAGAGTCTGATGCATTAACAATCATCCAAGTTATGAAGAATTTTGCTCCCTTTTGTGATGAGTGTGTATAGTAATTGTTAGATGCATCTGGCTTATTATCTATTTCTCCAGGATTTAAATTGTGCCATGTGTTTAGAGAAACTAACTACGTTACCCACTAATTGACTACTTATGCTCTTAATAAAGACGGTGAGCTAATTTGGTTAGAAGAATCTCCTCCTTCAATACTATTATTGTATCAAACACCTTTTATTTATTATAACTTCTATATTATCAAAACAAAAACAAAAAACATTTTTTTGTTGCTCTTAAATAAAACCATACTACAAATTGACATTCATATCCATTGTTCTTTTATTTTCTTTTTAGATTTGTTCCTTGCGGAAGTGTTATTTCCAAAACACATAGGCCCTGTTTGTTTCTGTTTTCGTTTTCATTTTTTGCGTTTTTCGAGGCTAAAATTTGAAAACGTGGGTGAAAAACGCGTTTGGTGCAAAATGTTTGAAAAAACAAAACAAAAACGTTTTTGTCGTTCTCTGAAGAATTTAAAAACGCAAAAAAGTCATTTTCATTTTCTCCTCCGTTTTCGTTTTCCTCCCCATTTTCTACCGTGTCCTCTTCCTCTTCTCATTCTTCTAAAAGTTCTCAGA